AACTAAAAACCGGCCAGACCACAGCAGCACTCAGATACAGCAGCACAGCTAGGAAGGTGTAGATGACCACAAAGCGGTCGAAAGGGAAGCGCAGCGAAGACGTTCTCCCCGAGACTGTGAGAGCCACCACCACCACGGTTATAGCGAAGCACAGGCTGTAGACCACCACGCAGTACTGTGTAGGGATGTGGCGGTTGTATTCACTGTCATTGGCCAGAGCGCCGAAGATGATGCAGGCAACGAAGGCTTGGACCACCTTAAGCAGGCCAGACACGGTGGCCATGTAGCCAACCACATGGCCCGGCTTGGCCCGTGTGATGAACACCTCAGCTCCGTAAGCGAAGCAGCAGACGCTGGAGCAGACGGTGACGGCGATGCGATAGCTGCGCACCTCGCAGCCCTCAGATGGGCACTCAGACCTGAGGAAGTAGACCGGATACACTATTGATGCCGTGACGTACATGAGAGTGGCCAACATGGCGAAGGCCACCGTGAAGTTGTCCCAGGAGATGGGCATACACCCGTGTAGCCTCGTCATGTCCATGGTGAAGACCACTAGTGTGACGGCAAAGCAGAAGCACCAGACGAACATGCAGTAGGTCCCGTAGGTGGCGCTGAAACCCGCACCGTGGGCAACCAGGGCCATGGTGGTGCAACCGAGAAGGAGCTGGCACATCCGGGCAGCGCCGAGTCCGGACAGCACTGCCGCCTTGTTTAGATAATGGCCACCTTGGGGGTCCATGGGAAGCTTTGGGTGGATCTCGATGAATCAGACGAGTGTCGCTGCACCTCCACGGCCCAATCCACAAACCTCGCCCTTAGCCTGCCTCTTTATTTAGGCAGCCTTAATGACAAATCTCCTTTACTGCTTCCCAGCTCTGCTTTATAATTACTGCAGAGTGTGTGGGATCAGATTACAGTAAAAACTCTAGGTGTTCTCTCTGTCTGTGAGTGAAGAGTAACTTTGCTACAAGTACTTTTAGATTTCCAAAAGACCGCCTAGCAAAATATAGCAAAGCAACAGGATGACCATAAAAGAGTTGTCTTTTCAATTCAAAACAGTTGCTGTTATTTACATAAAGTTCCACATTTTCAGTCAATGGCTCCCTTTGACACCTTACAGCTTGGCTCTTTACCTAGTCACCTTGTCCTCGCAGGTCTTGCTCTTGGTATTTGTCAGTTGATTGTGATCACTGATTCTACGCCGAAAGTTCCACACAAGCCGAATGTCACCTTCAAGATGCTGCTTTAGCTGAAGTGTCTCTTCATAACATGATCCGGTAAATATCCAACATGAGATGGTATCAGGTTCTCAAATTCTTCAAACTTTCTTCTTCTTTTTACACTGATTACTTAGATCTCTTACTCGCGCTAGCACTGTTTCCACTCTCTCTCACACTCATACTGGCGTGTGCTGGGCTTTGAGTTGAAGTGTACTAGGGAAAGCGGTTTTAATGAGTGCGTTCTGCCGAGCTCAGGGCCACGGGCTCCACCAGCTCTATAAATAGAGCCCTATATTCCACTGTGGAATGGGGTGGGAATCCAAATATCCGTTTCAAGCAACAGTGCAGGGAGTCGTGTTTCATATGGTTGCAAACTGTGTGTGTGTGTGTGTGTGTGTGCTATTTAGGGACAGTTACAAGATGTAGGCCCTGGCACATCTGTCTGGCTCAAAGAAAAAGTGCAAAATAATGGCCCAAGATGAAAGATTGCTTGTCAGTTTTGTACATGCTACTCAAGACATTCTTTTATTTTTTCCTTAGTGGTATTTTTTATTTACATCAACTAATGCTTCTGGATGTCTTTATTTTAAAATTAAGAAGTAGCTTTTTATACTTTCCTAACTTTTTTAGATGCTACATTTAGATGCTTCTTCTACAGTCATTAAGTGTATAGTATGTACATTTAAAGTACTAATAGGTGCACGGTTTTGTGTGTGTGTGTGTGTGTGTGTATGTGTGTGTTTTGTTTTGAAACCCCTCCTCTCCAAACACTTGGCTCCAGTTGGTCTTAAACAGTGTTGGGGAAAGTTACTTTTAAAAGTAATGCATAACAATATTGTGTTACTCCCTTTAAAAGTAACAAATTACATGACTTTTTATGGACTTATTATAACTTATGTTACTTTTGCATTACTTTTTAAATCTGAGCTGGGCTTGCTTGTTTGTTTTTAATATAAAAAGGCTGAAGGAAATGTAAATTCACATCTGCACAGTAGAGGATGCAGCTCAAACAAACTGTCTAAAGTCATTTTTGCTTATTAGTGTGGTTGAATTGAAGGTCAGTAGCAAAGACAATTAGTTAATAAAATGGGATTAAATGTGGCTTAGAGACAATTAGTTAATAAAATGGGATTAAATCCATAAAGGATATTTGTGTTATTTATTGCAAAAAAGTTTGCATGCAAGTGTTTTTATTTATTTTGAGTAATACTGAATCTGTTTTTGTGCAAGTGAGTAAATGCATGTTCACATTTAGTCCAGAACTACAGTAACATCATGTTTACTTACACAATGCCTCTGCACTTACTCCTGATTTCTCTCAACATGGGGACAGCAGAGCTGTCAGTCAATAAATGGGAAAACAAAGTAACTGGTGTTACTTATTTGAAAAAGTAACTCCGATATTTTCTTGTAAATTAAAAAGTAATGCATTACTTTACTAGTTACTTGAAAAAAAGTAATCAGATTACTTAACTTGCGTTACTTGTAATGCTTTACCCCCAACACTGGTCTTAAATCCACATATCACCCTCCAATCAATTCATGATAGAAATAGGCCTGTTATGTTGTGCATATAAAATATGCTGCGTTAAAATATCATGGTTCTTAATGAGCTCGGCAATGAGGCTTTGGGAATTAAATGTGTTTCTTTGAAATAACTGTAATGTGTTCTCTCATGGAAACATACATGCATTTAACACAAGAAAAAAACAGCATTATTTACAATTGACAAAGAATCACTTCTCTGTGAAAATAGCATTATAAATATGATTTACATAACAAAATAAATATGCAACTTTGCAATGCAGTTTGAGTTTTCTGTTAAAAAATATGTTACAGAACAAAATAGCAATTAGTAATACCTTCACATCTCTGTTGTTTTCTTTTCTTTTGGTTGGTTTATTTTTTATTATTTTTCATGAGACCGCTATATAAACGTTATATTAAAAAAGTAATTTTCTATTAAATATTTTAACAGTCTAGAGTGTCTTCATTTGACAAAAGTACTCACAAAGTAGAGTAAAAAAACAGTCAGCTGTTAAGAAAACCTATACATAGATAAAGAGCACAATACCCAATCAAGTGAGAGGTTGCATTGATAAAACTGTGATCAACCATCGCCTTACTGTCATGTCAGTACAATGGTGGTTTATTACATGAATGGGAATAGCACTCAAACAGTGTAAACTTGCTTATTTTACCATTAGGATACAAAGAAAAAGATGTCCCAAGAGTTTCTACACAGTGAAATGAGTGAAATCCCCATTTTAATACAATGTGAATGAGTTCAACTGAAAGTACACCAAAAAGGCAAAGCGACCGACCTGAGTAGCAGGGTTACATTCAGCATATTGTGTGCCTGGAATGTGACTATGAAAAGGAGGCTGTTTTCAGGAATCAGCATTTCATCCTGGATTTGTGAGCATGTATATATTTTGTACCATAGAGGAATAGTTCACCTGAAATTCAGTTATCACTTACTCAGCCTCATGCAGTTGAACAATTTTCAACAATGTCCAATCTTCTGTTTTTGTATACAAACGCAAGTAGATTTATACTGCTTCAGAATTCTCCAAAAATAGTCCATATGATTACTTTCCTATACCATGATCCGTAGTATGGATTTGTCATCCATACCACGAAACATATTCTGATTTTAGTGCCAGAGCTCACAACTGTCATTCGCACTTGAGTCCAGGTAAAAGGCCTAAAGTCACTGATGGTTGTTTATGTGTCCACTGGATCACAAATGAGATTTGAGAGCTATGGCAGAGGTGAATAACTTCTGAATGGCTTCAGAAGACTTGGAATATAATGTAAGTGTTAGGGTTCTGTCACTTCGGTCTAGTGTTATCCATGGTTTTGTGACAGAGCCCTGACACTCCCGTCATGTCTTGTTTTCATGCGAGCATGTGGCTTCGAGAGTGCTCGAGTCGTGCGCTCTCGTCTGCGTGTCCGGTTTCCTTGTTTCATGTTGGAGCGTGGTGTTCGGATCCCGGCACTCATGTCTTGAGTTTCGGTCTCGTGTCGGGGTCTGGACCCTCACGCTCCATGTTCTGTCTTGTTGTGGGAGCGTGCGGTCTCGAGTTCGCTCGGCCTTGTGCTCTTCTGTAGCACATGGTTTGTGTTCGGCCACATGCTTTTCTTGTTGTCTTGTGTTGTTGTTGCATGCAGCTCGTGTTATCGGCTGCGTGCTTTCATGTCCTGTCTTGTCTTGTGTGAACACGCGGCTTATGAGTATTCTCATTAGCTGCGTGTTCGTGTCTTGTTTTGTTCAAGCACATGGCTTGTGATTGTTATGTTGGCCATGTGCTTGGGTTTTTGTTTTGTGTGAGCACATGGCTGTTTGTCTTTGTTTCCTGTGTGCCATGTGTTCTCATGTCAATTGTCATGACCCCACCCATCTTATTACCTGATTATTGGTTAATTTGCCCCACCTGTTTTCCCTTGTTACCCTCCTCATTTGCTCCCTATTTATTCTCCTTGTGTTTGCAGTCCTGTGCGAGTTAGTCTTCGCATGTATCCTGTCAGCCAGCCTGTTTTCCCCCCACAGGGTAGTTTTTGTTTTGTATTATTTTACTATTGAAAGCCCATTACTCTGCACTACTGAGTCCTCGCCTCATCCCTTCATCCCCAACCCTACATGATCATATGGACTATCATACTTTTACGGCGCCATTATGTCCGTTTTGGCAGTATACATGACCATGGTATCAAAAACGGAAGCTTGGACATGCTTGAGAAGCTCTCCAGCAGTGTTTTACTGAAGAAATAAATAATTCATGTTTTCAGTGGCATGGGAATTAAGTAAATGGTGACAATTTATTACAGGGCTGACTATTCCTTAACTATTATGATGACATTTTATCATAACTTAGCCATACCCCAAGAAAGATGTTGGGTTTAGAGTAGGTGATCCCATGTCTGCCTGTTCCGAAATTCCTGTTTTTAAGATTCTTTAGTAGATCCATATATTTTATATGTACTTCGTAAACTCAATTTATAAACTATAATCGATAATCTATGTTCTCTTGCTCTCTGTATTTACTTCCACTGAATGGACACATAAAACTCTAATAAACTGTGGCTTACTATATTGGTAAAAAAAAAAAGCAAACAACAATGCTGAAGATCCGTAAAACTGGATTACATTCGTGATACTTTTATAACCAAAATATAAATTAAGAGCAAAGATGCTGGTGTACATTGTCCTGGTTACATGGTTCTTCAGTACTTTCATTTGTACCGTGTTGTGTTGGGAACCATTAAACAGTCAGCAGCCCATGGTTTATCTGACAAGGGCTCTGTTCCAAATCTTTTTTTCATTTTGGGCGTCTCCATCTCCAAGCTGCTCAGTGATAATAGTGTAGACTGGAGCAAAATGGAAACCAACTGATCATTAATGAGGAGATCTGGAGACAGAAGCCCATAGAGAGTTGGCACAGAGCCCCGACTAAATGCAGGGCTTAGCCTGAGGTCAAAGCTGAGGCGAGTGTGGAGTTGGAGGTATCAAACGGACTGATGGGAATCACGGTCCCAACCGGGAGCGAGTCCTTCCATGGTATTTAGCTGCCGCTGCTGAGCATGCCCAGTAGCTTACTTGGGTCCATGCCCTGCTGATGGGCCATCTTCTGTACATCAAAGCCCATGTGCATGAGGAACTGGATTACGTTCATCTCCTGTCCCGTCGACTGGTCTCGGATCGTCGGGCACGTCGGGTTGCAGTGAGGCCATGGACAGCTGTCGATCAAGTGCACGGGACAGCCTTTGGAAGGGGATTTATTATTTCGGCTGTTTTCTTGTAGACTGCGGTCCCAGCAGTGGAGCGCTCTGGGTAAAGACGTGCCTTTGACTTGGACGTCTGTCCAGTAACTACAACAAACATAAGAGGGAAGAGCTAGTCAATGAGCATCCACTTCATTATGGAAATGGGGAAAATAACAATTTGAACTTCATTTAAACGTCATGTAAATAACTAGGAAAGTGGTAAAACACAAGCATAAATATACTCCTGAACTGACAGCAAATCTGCTCTACAAGATACACAAAATAATCAAAGAGATCACTTACTTTCTTGTTATGAATTCATGCGAAAGGCAAGCAGGAGCAAAGATGGCACTGGAGGTGAAAAGCAGAGTATTAGAAATAGCAAAAGTGTTCACGTCAAATATAAATTCATGCTCTCCTCACAATGAGACTCTCTGAAGGGCAGGTCACACTTACGGGACATCCTTCAGAGTGTTCCTCAGCTCAGTCCCTAGATTCTGAATATAACGCCACTGTCCTTCTTGAACCGGCTGTCCCGTCAGATGAATGTTGTCTACCGTTAGCTGGGCTTCATCAAACAGCCACTGCACTATAAACACAGGGCCTGCGACAAAGAAACATCACATTTGGTTAACAAAAGTAACCAAACTCAACATCGTCTGTAAAGAACTAGGAAAAATATGGCAGAGTTTGGTGCCTGTTATGCCCTAGACTCACGTTTAATGATAGGATAAACTTTATATCCAAAGAAGCAGTTCCATTCTTTTCCTTCATAAGCCTGTCGGCATCGTTCTGGTACCACATCGCCCCAGTATCTGCCAACAAGAAGCTCAGTTCATTCCTAAATGTCTAACTCAGTCAAGTTCACATGCATATGAGGAAAAAAGTAATCATGGAATGCTATTTGTATTTGAAAGACTGTTCACACCATGTGCATTATTTAATGCAACAAAATGAACTGACAAAAACATCTGCATACTGCCAATGTGATGATTTTTTTTCTAATCTATTTTCCATGGCACTGTGAAAGAAGCTGGCCAACCAATAAGATTTGCACTTTTGATCACATGCCCAGAGCTGCTGTTACATAAAACTAAAGCTTGGTGGCGCTTATGAACAGAGTATTTTGTTAATTTGTTCAATTCATTTTAAACCTCTTAAATCTTTTTTTTTTTAGATAATTTTCAAAGTTTTTAAATTCCTTGTTTTATTGTTGTGATTATTGTTTTTATTTTATTTTATGTAAAGCACTTTGAATTACCATTGTGTATGAGATGTGCTATACAAATAAACTCACCTTGATTTTGACTTATTTGAGCAGTCTGGACCCGGCTCACTTGTCTCTGTACTCTTGGTGTTGTTTGAACAGCATAACGATTAAAAATAAAAAGTCTTCTCCATGACAAGCAGGTGTCAGAAATGGAAAGATACCTAGCACTGCCTTTTTGTTATACAGTCACTTTTAGTTATACAATAGTGGAGTGAAGACATGCAATGTTCAAGATCTGCTACTGTGAAGGTGTAAAACGAGTAGAGTCTTTTTTTTCTCAATCAAGTGGGAATACAGCAAATCGGATTTCTACAAGAACAATGTGACCCACCTCTCTGAAATTCTCACTGCTTCTTGGATTTGATCAACTTTTCGCTACAGTGAGCATCACTTGCATATTTCTTTTTCTCGACATCCTTGCAACACACCATCACCATTAAAATCAATGTTCTCTGACAGCAAACATTCTATCATGTAATAATTCTTAAAGGCACCGTTCACCCAAAAATGAATATTCTGTCATTTACTGAACCTCATGTTGTTCCTAACCTGTATGGGTTTCTTTCTCATGTTCAACAAACAAATATATTTTGAAGAATGTGGGTATGGAAAAAATACTATAGAGGTCAATGAGGACCAGAAACCTGCATTCTTCAAAATATCTTCTTTTGTGTTCATCAGAAGAAAGAAACTCTTGTAGGTTTGGAACAACTTGAGGATGACAGATTTTTAATTTTTGTGTGAACAATCCCTTTAAGGTTAGAGTTCAAATCCCTGAACCCTAAGTAGTAGCAATAGCTAGATCAAACATCTTTACATTAAGAAATGTAGTATTCTTACTTGATTCCTCTCTTGATGACCTCAGTGGGGGCACCGTTGATGGTGTCCACGCAGTCAGTGCAGCGGTATTGTTTGTTGTCCAAGAACCAGCCAGAGTCAGACAGACCCCTGACCTGGATGTTTATGTGACCCAACTCCTCCAGAAGCTCAGATACTGGGTCCACATTCAGCAACACCCCAGTGCCACCCGCGCTGTGGACAAGGCGCACGTATTTAGTCAACATCGGCCATGGATATCAAACTCTGAAACCATGGTCTGTAATATGGACTCACCTGCTTCCAGCCAACAGAAGTATCTTAGCATTATCCAGACCCTTGGTGAGCAGGTCCTTTACAACTTCCTTTATGATCAGTGAACCCATGAACGCATAGTCATCTGTACACAATAAACGACAAGTCAATGACAGCTAGTGCTAACTAACTTATAACAGCTCTGTGTTGGACTGCTGTACAGTGATGGTATCAAGTGGTAATATATTGATACAATAATCAAACGTTTTGGGTCATTAAGATTTTTTTTTTTTTAAGATATTAGAACTTTTATTCAGCAAGGATGCATGAAGTTCAAAAGTGACAGTAAAGACATTTATAATGTTACAAATGATTTCCATGTTTTTAAAAAACTGAGCTTTTGAACTTTTTTTTTAATCCACCAAATAATCCTTAAAAACATATCTCGGCTCCCACAAAAATATGAAGCAGCACTGTTTTCAACATTGATAATCAGAAATGTGTCTTGAGCAGCATATTAGAATGATTTCTGAAGGATCACGTGACACTGAAGACTGGAGTAATGATGCTGAAAATTCAGCTTTGCATCACAGGAATACATTTGAATTTTTTTAATTAACTGATTTAAAAAAAAAAAAAATCGCTATCGCTATTTACTGACTTTTGTTCAAATAAATGCAGCCTTGGTGAGCAGCAGTGACTCCTTTCAAAAAGGTCCGAGACCACTAGTGAAAAATCTTATTAAATTATTGTTGGAGTCAGATTATTATAGTGAAAATATCTTATATAATTTTTCATTACATTATCATGAATCCAACACTTGAGCTGGCATGATGTTTGTGCAAATTCTGATTATGCATGTTATTCGGCATAATAGAGAATGTTCTGAATGGAAAAAGACAAAAAAATAATAATCTTTTGTACAAAGCAGTTCACATGCTCAGTGTCACAAAATGACATACTATTAGTTACCTAGAAATATTGACCAATCTGAAACGTTTCTTCTTTTTTCCCCCGTAAACTTTTATTTGTTTAATTTTCTCAAACTCATGAAACATTCTCTTTTTTTTTCCAGGTTAAAGTGAAATTTCATCTGTGCATGGTAAACTGTGTATACCATAGCAGTGAGTGCATCATCTATTACAGGGGTGGCGAACTCCGGTCCTGGAGAGCCGCAGCCCTGCAGAGTTCAGTTAAAAAAAAAAAAAAAAAAAAAAAAAAAAACACTATCGCTGTTTACTGACTTTTGTTCAAATAAATGCAGCCTTGGTGAGCAGCAGTGACTCCTTTCAAAAAGGTCCGAGACCACTAGTGAAAAATCGTATTAAATTATTGTTTGAGTCAGATTATTATAGTGAAAATATCTTATATCATTTTTCATTACATTATCATGAATCCAACACTTGAGCTGGCATGATGTTTGTGCAAATTCTGATTATGCATGTTATTCGGCATAATAGAGAATGTTCTGAATGGAAAAAGACAAAAAAATTATAATCTTTTGTACAAAGCAGTTCACATGCTCAGTGTCACAAAATGACATACTATTAGTTACCTAGAAATACTGATCAATCTGAAATGTTTCTTCTTTTTTCCCCCGTAAACTTTTATTTGTTTAATTTTCTCAAACTCATGAAACATTCTCTTTTTTTTTCCAGGTTAAAGTGAAATTTCATCTGTGCATGGTAAACTGTGTATACCATAGCAGTGAGTGCATCATCTATTACAGGGGTGGCGAACTCCGGTCCTGGAGAGCCGCAGCCCTGCAGAGTTCAGCTCCAACCCTAATTAAAACTCACCTGCCTGTAGCTTTCTAGTAACCCTTCAGACCTTGATTAGCTTGTTCAGGTGTGTTTGATTTGACCTGGAGAGCTGCGGCTCTCCAGGACCGACGTTCGCCACCCCTGATCTATTAGGTAATGTAGCGTCTCGACCAATCGGACACTAATTTTTATTTGATTTAACAAATCAATTATTCATTAGATTAACAAATCGTCACAGTCCCCTCACTCAAACTGGATGCCAGGATTTCTGCTGAACACCAGGCCCCCTTGGTCACCATGACAACTAATCATGATATCACTGGTTTTATGACCCCCCAGGAATGTGAGTAGGATAACCCACTCTTTGTCCCCATAGGAGAGGCAGAGCAGAAATGGACTTTTCTACTAATTAATTCATAGGAAAACCTTTCTTTGAATGAACACACATTCTTCAGGCCATTGTGTATATTATTGCCGTTTTGTATAAATCTGTTGTATTATAGACTTTTTATCCATGCTTACGATAAACCACTCATTCATATAACCTTACATATACCGTGTTTAGTAT